AGCCAGGCCAATAGAGATTGCGGATTTGGATGATGAGTTCAAGGCAGAGAGGATGGTGGAGAACTTGAGATGGGTTGGAATGTCAACCAAAAATACGGATAAGGTATGTTAGTGTTTTCATGATCCTTAATGGTTCAATTTTCTAACCAGGCTAAAACAGTAACATACTACATCCAATTTTTAATATAAGAGCTAGTTGACTAATTTGAGTAGATTAAGAAAACTAATTAAGTTAGTTATTTGTAACAAACATATATTGTCTTTCCTAAAATATCCTTGTTCATCAAATGTGTATTGGTTAGAACTACTATTATTATAAGGACTACATTAGAAAAATATATATAAATATAAGAGACAAAGTAAATTAGGATCTTATATGTAGGACCAGAATATAAGTAAAAAAAACTCTTATATTATGGATCAGAAGTATTAAATATCTATACATATCTGTGGATATGTAAAAATCTATTGTCTTATCAATCAGATGTTGTTCATTTACAACTTACTATTCTTTATAGTGCACCTTGAACTTCAGAAAAGCCAATGCAGATATCATATTAGTTCTTCTGATAAATATTTGTTATATATACAGTATCCTGATGAATACATAATTTATATGAAAATTTTTACAATTGCGCAGAGCTTTATGGAAGATCAAAAGATTGTTCCTATTGAGGATATTACAAATTTCCAAATAAATAAGGAAGACAATGACGTGCAAGGTACGGAAGATCGACATTTTAAGTGTTTGCAACTAAATTTTATTATCGAAACATAGGGTGAAAACATTTTTATAACTCGGAATTTTATTATTAAAAAAAAGTAACAATCACTTGTCAAAACGTAGAAAATCTTGTGATTTTTCCCTATGTAATTAGCGGTTATGTAAACTTTAATCTCCCATAATAATTTAGAGGGGTTTTTATTTGCAGCAGAATCTGTGCAGCACCAGAGCAACGACATGAATGACTTCTCATTGGGATTCATCAATTATGATGAACCAAATGAGAACTTCATAGATGAAGGTACCCCCATGGATGACTATTCAAGCTCTCCAAGCTGCTTTGAGGTTGTTGAGGAAGTAAAAGTCAGCCACGGAAGTGTTTGTGGTCGCAGCAAGCAGCTGAGACATTCTTTCACCAGATAGTTCCTTCACAAACCCTCAAGGTTCATCTCAACCCAAAACGGCAACTAACACTACTCTTTTCATCAGAAAAAGCAGAAACAGCAGAGACAGAAACACTGAGAATGGAGAACCAAGGGTCCTATTTCACGAAACTTAAAGACTATGTGACGGGAAAGCTAATAATGAAGCCTTCAAAGACCGCTAGTGCTATTATGTTCATATTTGCATTTCTCTTGATGCACTTTGCTTCATATTTGGAGGCGCATGCGCAAATCTTGAAACTAGATCCTCAAGATGAAGATGTCAAAGAGAAACATTGCTCTTGTGCCAGCAGCAAGAAGGAATTCTCATGGAATGGGAAAGAAGGGGTTTGGTTTGTTGGTATCAAAAGTGGAAGAGGGTTTAGTGTGGTGTTGAAGAAGATAGGGATTTTCCTCACAATTTCTTTAGCACTTTGCACTATGTGGGCTAACCACATCACCGTTGATTAACCCCTAAATTAATTATCTGTTTTGTTTCTGATTAAAGGAATCTGAAAAGGTTCAATTCCCTAGGTTTCTCCCAGTTAAGGAGCTTGGAGGCTAATGCATCCCAACTTGTACTTTACTTTGACACACTCTCTTTAATTAAGTTACTTGTACTCTATTCTTATATAGAATAACTTACCTTTACTTCTTTTCCTTCTTAACATGACAACTTCCCACACACGTTGGATATCATATTTTCACATGGCTTAAACTTATTTGAGAAGAGTATTAAAGATAATGTACATGATCAAGGGTATTTGTAGTTTATATATATATATACACACACACACGGAAATATCATCTCCCGAGATATTAGGAGGATTATAGGAATCAGATTTAATTTGATTTATTCCCTAGAATATCTCTGTAATCCCTCTCGATCTCATCTATAATCTCTCTCGATCCCCATTCTACTTATATATACAGTGTACAGTAACACCCAGAATATACAAGTGAATATTTTCCACATATTACCGTGTCTATATGGTATCAGAGCCGGCGGACGGTCGTCCTTCAGCGAGTCCGGTGAATCCCTCATCTTCGTCCTCCACGTCGGAGGACACACCAGTTGGGTCGAGCCCCAGGCAGCGTCCGACCACGATGGACCCTCCTGGTGGATCCCCTGCGCAAGTTTCGAGTTCGATCAATGCACCCTCCGCGTCGACCATCAATGTCGATGGTTCTTCATTGCCCTTGTATCGGAAAAACTCATCGGCAGCAATTATAGGGAGTGGGCTCAGGCTATGCGTTTAGCCATTGGTGGCCGTGGCAAGCTCGGTCTGATCACTGGAGAGTCGACCACACCCAGTGACCTGAAGTCTTCAGAGATGCAGCGATGGCTCACGGACAATTCCCTTGTGTGCTCCTGGTTGATTAATGCTATGTCACCCTCCCTCAAAAGGAGTTTCATGTATTTACCTACTGCTAAAGACATGTGGGATGCTGTCCGCGAGTCGTATTCGGATGGCGAGGACCTTGCCCGCCTATATGATCTAAAAACCAGAATCTGGAATATCAAGCAGGGTACTCGCACCGTTACAGAATACTGGTTGGAGCTCATTGGACTGTGGCAGGAATTGGATATGATCACCGAGGAGGAGTGGTCTTCTTCCACTGATGCTGCGCGACACAAAAATAATGTTGAAAAGGAACGTGTTTTTCAGTTCCTCGCTGGATTGAACCCTGAATTTGATGACATTCGAAGCCGGATCCTAAGTCGTTAATCACTGCCTAACACTCGTGAGGCCTTCTCTGAAGTACGCCGTGAAGCCTCACGTCGCGACGTTATGCTGCACCCTGCCTCTTCCACTGTTTCTGACTCATCTGCTCTTGTCAGTAGAGGGGGGTCCTCATCTTCCTCCACAAAGCCCAAAGTCACCTGTGATCATTGCAAGAAGCCAGGCCATACACGTGATCGCTGCTGGGACATCCATGGAAAACTAGCTGATTGGAAATCTCGAAAGGGTAAACCTCGAGGCTATCAGGTATCACCAGAACCCTCTCAATCCTCTGATTCCCTTCCAACATTATCAAATGAGCAACTACAGCAATTACTTACTGCTCTCAAAGGCCTCCCAACGCAGCAACCTCCCCTTGCTGCGTCTGCCTCCATAGCTCACACAGGTACCTCTCCATTCGCTCTTCATACCTCGTTCTCGTCCAATAAATGGATAGTTGACACTGGTGCTACTGATCATATGACCTCGGATGCTCGTATGTTTGTTACCTATTTCCTTGTGCTAGTAATGACAAAATCACAACTGCTAATGGGTCGGCCTCTCCCATTGTCGGCAAAGGCTCGATTACTCTTTCAGATTCATTACATCTCAATTCTGTCTTACATGTCCCCCATTTGGCCTGTAACCTCCTTTCTATCAGCAAAATTACTAAACATGCAAATTGTGGTGCTTACTTTTTTCCCACTTTCTGTGTTTTTCAGGATCTCTCATCAGGGAAGATGATTGGCATAGCTAGGGAGCATAATGGTCTCTATTATCTCGATGTCTCTACCGTGACTGCCTTGTGTTCGCAAATCCATGGTCTTGTTTCTACTCCTAACAATAATGATGTTTTATTATGGCACAAAAGAATGGGTCATCCCAGTTTCTCTTATTTGCAACGCTTGTTTCCTCATTTATCCATTAATAAAAATTCCACTGTTCATTGTGATTCTTGTACACTTGCCAAACACCATCGTGCACCTTTTCCGCCATCACAATACAAACCAACTCGTCGTTTTCTATAATTCATAGCGATGTTTGGAGTCCGTCTCGTGTTTCTAACCGTACCCACTCAAAATGGTTTGTCACCTTCATTGACGATCACACACGAATGACTTGGGTTTACTTACTTAAAGAAAAATCCGTCGTTCCCTCTGTTTTTATGGAATTCTTTCACCTTGTCAAAAATCAATTCAACACCACAATACAGGTTTTATACACGGATAATGGTACTGAGTATTTCAATCACCAACTTGACTCTTTTCTGAAAACCAATGGCATTGTCCATAATAGGTCTTGCCCTCATACCCCACAACAAAATGGTGTTGCCGAACGCAAAAATCGACATCTTCTTGAGGTTGCCCGTGCACTCCTGTTCACATGTAATGTGCCTAAATTTTTCTGGGGGGATGCTATTCTTACAGCCACTCATCTAATCAATCGAATGCCAAGCCGTGTTCTCTCTTTTGTCTCTCCTTTGGACAAACTTCGTGAAACTCATTCCGTCACTCATCTTGATCATCACCTTCCACTTCGCGTCTTTGGCTGTTCTGCCTTCGTTCATCTTCCTCACCCTCAATCTAAACTTGACCCACGTGCCATTAGGTGTATCTTTTTGGGGTATTCATCTGGTCAGAAAGGTTATAAGTGCTATGATCCCACTTCCAAACGCCTCTTTGTTAGCCGTGATGTCTATTCTCTGAGCATGACCCGTACTTTCCCACTTCTTCAATTCAAGGGGAGAATTGGAGTGAATTTCAGCATGTAGAAAGTGTACCTGAGCCTATACCTCCAACTCAACCTGTTGTGTCCATTCCATCTAGTAATCCTACACCTATTCCTTCCACCGTTGCGCAAGTGCCAAAGGCAGGGGGAGATAAGACCAACAATAGATATAACAAGGTATACATGCGACGAGATAAAGAAACTATAGAGATCGAAATGCCCAGAGCTCTGCCAGAGTTTGACCCAATGAAAGACCCTGAAACGACGATAGAAGTGAATGAGGAGGACCTGCCTATTGCCTTAAGAAAGAAGACTCGCTCTTGCACCATGCACTCTATCTCATGACTATCGTGCTTTTACCACTACTCTTGATCAAATCAGAATACCTAAAAATGTACATGAGGCCCTTGAGCATCCTGAGTGGAAGAAGGCTGTGATGGAAGAAATAGTAGCATTGGAGAAAAATGAAACCTGGGAAGTGGTTGATCTACCAAAAGGGAAGAAAACAGTTGGGTGCAAGTGGGTCTTTACCCCGAAATACAATGCCGATGGAACACTCCACAAGTTCAAGGCACGATTGGTAGCCAAGGGTTTCACTCAGACCTATGGGCTAGACTACAATGAGACATTCGCTCCCGTGGCAAAGCTAAATACGATCAGAGTCCTGTTATCAATTGCAGCCAACTTGGATTGGCCTCTACAACAATTAGACATCAAAAACGCATTCCTTAATGGAGAATTAAAAGAAGAAGTCTATATGACACTGCCCCTAGGCTTTGATAGAGGGAGACAGAATCAAGTTTGTAAACTGAAAAAATCCTTGTATGGCCTAAAACAATCTCCCAGGGCATGGTTCGATAGATTCTCCAACGTTCTAAAAGTTGAAGGCTATAGGCAAAGCCTGTTTGACCATACAATGTTCGTCAAGAAGAATGGAGCACTAAAAGCAATTCTTATTGTGTACGTAGACGACATTATTGTTACAGGTGATGATGTAACCGAGATAAACAGAATAAAGACAGCTTTGAATCGAGAGTTTGAGGTCAAAGATCTGGGAAGACTAAGGTATTTCCTTAGAATGGAAGTTGCACGTTCAAAAAGGGGAATCTATGTCTCCCAACGAAAGTATATTCTTGATTTATTAAAAGAAACTGGTATGCTTGGTTGCAAGCCTATGAAAACGCCAATGAGTGTCAAGAAGAAAAGCACCAACCGAGGTAAGAAAAATGCAGCTACCAAAGAAGAGGCTGAGAAAGAGAAAAAAACAACGGAAAGATGAGGAACCCGTGGACACTGGTAGATACCAACGACTAGTAGGAAAGTTAATCTACTTGTCACACACCCGACCTAATATTGCTTTTGCGGTAAGTGTAGCAAGTCAACATATGCACTCACCCAGAAAGAAACACATGGATGCAGCCTACAGAATCTTGAAGTATCTGAAAGGGACACCAGGAAGAGGACTTCTCTTTAAAAAGTGTGAGTCTAGAACAGTGGAGATTTACACAGATGCAGATTGGGCAGGTGCGCCAGAGGATAGCAGATCCACATCTGGCTACTGCACCTTTGTGTGGGGAAATCTAGTGACGTGGCAAAGTAAAAAACAGAATGTGGTATCTAAGAGCAGTGCAGAATCAGAATTGAGAGCCCTAGCTCAGGGTATTATGAAAGGTCTCTGGTTGGAAAGAGTAGCAGAGGAGGCTCAAGTTCAAATTATCAAGCCGATGAAGCTATTCTGTGACAACAAGGCAACTCTAAGTATGGCTTTAAATCCAGTACAACACAGCAGAACCAAACATGTTGAGGTTGACAGACATTTTATTAGAGAAAAAGTAGAGGATGGGATTGTATGTTTGTCCTATGTGGCCTCAAAACAGCAAGTTGCAGACATTCTTACAAAAGGGCTTCCTGAAGACTTGTTCGAGAAATTCATCAGCAAGTTGGACATGATTAGCATCTATGATCCAACTTGAGGGGGAGTGTACTTTTATATATATATATATATATATATATTTATAGAGACACACACGGAAATATCATCTCCCGAGATATTAGGAGGATTATAGGAATCAGATTTAATTTGATTTATTCCCTAGAATATCTCTATAATCCCTCTCGATCTCATCTATAATCTCTCTCGATCCCCATTCTGCTTATATATACAGTGTACAGCAACACCCAGAATATACAAGTGAATATTTTCCACATATTACCGTGTCTATAGTATTTTTATCTATACATGACAGCACGACTTAAGGCCTCCTCCAAACTACTCAGGTCCCTGGTCCCTTCCAAAAATAAGCAGTCCAACTCGATATGTTCCCCAGGTATTTTAAAATATGTCGATGAAAAGAATTATAAAGTTTATACTCCATTCAAAACAGACATTCAGCGAATCCGGAACTTGCATGAACAAGAATATAGAGCTTTGTGAAGTCTCACCATGGATGAAAGTGTTCAAATTATCCTACACGGTCTTTTTCTGAATATTTGTTCCAGGACAAGTAGGATGGATCCCCAAGAGGTCTGCATATAAGGCAAAAGCCAAATGCAATGTCAATTTGCAAGAATTAACGGAGAAAAACCTAAGATATTTAAAAATAATAATACGCTATGCTTTTCTTATCTGACTAACCAGTACTTTCACTACCTGGACAAAATGTACAAAACTTTAGATCGAATACGAGAAAAGTTAAAATGTTAGAGGAAAAGTTTCTAGCCGTGCACCGATTGGATAAAACTTGCATGTTTGGCGCACTAATCATTAAGAAATTAAATTGTTTGAAAAAAAAAAAAAACCCTTTTAGCAATGGAAGATGGGAGCAATGGAGATCAAATTAAAGTTTCAAATGCAGCAGATCTTAAGGTGAAAATATTCGAGACACGTGAGCAATTATGATGCCAGATTTGTTTACAGTGCAGTCCATTCTACAATGTGGACAAAATCATAATTTCTCTGCCAAATTTTTTACCTGCAAAAAAAAGAAAAGAAAAAAGAAACAATAGATGAAAGATGAGCATAGTATTTCCATACCTTGGTTTCATCACATGCATACTCATGAACACTAACTCAAACAACAAGGACAGCCCGCCAATGGCAAGACACGCCATCCCCACAAAATCATTTCTCCCCCCAATCCAGGTAGTTGTTGAAAGAACCAGAACCTTTTTTCCTCCATAACTGTATGTATTATAGTTGTTCTGAATAACTATGTCAAGTTCATCATTGACTTCAAGGTCAGTCTCAATCTTCCCATATAGTTTTCTGAAAGAAGACAATGGTGCAGTTCGCATCCAAACCATGAGATCCTCTTGTTCACTCAGCTGATGCATGCCAAGAAAATCACTATTAACAAATTAAAAAACAAGCAAGAAATTTTTCTCATGGAACTCGAGAATAATGAAAATCACAATAACTATGCATTGCAATTAAGATAGATATACTTACAGGTATGCTCTCATTGAGTTTCGCTCCGCCAATCAAGTTTCCCTGCTGAAAGTTTTTTGGATACACATCAGAACCAAATCTTTTGGTCTTGTCACTCTTCCATGCTATATTCTTTTTGTCGATCAGTAAAGTCTTGTTGTTTGCTGAAAGGCTGAAGGTGTCATTGAACAAACTCCATGCAATGAGGCCACAGGGAACAATTGGTTTTCCATCATAATTTAGTTCAGGTTCACAAGATGATGATCCCTTCTCATCTGCCTTATTCCGTAGTTGTTTGTCATCTCTACTTTTAACAAATCTGTGAATATCATGCCGATGGAAAGGCGTTTCGTTATTTAGAATCCCTAATTTCAGAAAGATATATTAAAAAGGAAGAAAAATGAGGGGAAAAGAAAACAGAAAATCTCGGTACATCACAACATCCAAAACTTGATCATTAATTGTACTAGAGTTTACCAACGAATAGCAGAGAATTCTCCGTAAATCCCACATATTTTTCAACTTCTAGAAAAATAAAAATTTGATCAACTCATCATAACAGAAGTAGTGATCAATATCCACACGTGAACATGCACATGTTTGCTGAGCTACGATTAAGGGAATATTATGTGGCCTAAAACATGACACATATCTCACCTCTGCCATTTTCAATGAAAGTTTGATTTTACATCTAACAAGGCCGATGCTTTAAATCAAGGGTCTAGTTTGAGATATAAATTAAGAAACATGGTGATCTCAGATGCACGTGAACTCTAAAAGAAGCCAGAACAAGATGCTACTTGTGACCTGTTCTTACCTTCGATGATTCTGATAGAAATTATCAAGCTGATAATAAACATATATTGGGGCTTTCATCTTTTTTGTAACCTGTTAGATATCTAATAAAATTAGTTCATCAGAAACCGGAATCTGGAGTAGCAGGTTGCATCCCATGTTCTGTTAATGAACAAAGAAAAGAAAATAACTATGTTACAAAGTGATACAGGAAATATACTAACAATCCATCTCCTGATGCAAGTCTTCTTTGTTGCAGTGCTTTGAATAAAGGCCACTTCATCATCACTGTATTTATAAGGGATGCATTCCTGATCATATCTGTAGCTTATTTCCACCACCTGGATCGGGAATTCATGATCAAATGAGTTCAGTTTCAGCACACAAATTCCATTTGACAACAGTTGTGAAATATAATCTGATAAGACTGATGGTGTTAATTTGATAAACCATATGGGAGGAAACCGACGAAGACACAAGGGATAGAAGGGAATTAATCTTCTGGTCCAAGGAGTTATTCTATTTTCTAAGGCTCCAGATTATAAGGAACTAGAAATGATGATCTAGTCTGCTCTTGGCTTAGTCTGGGGGCTTGGGGCTATGTTTGGGAGGTGTGAAAGTTACATTTTGGTTTATATTGTCCTTGTGGTTTACAGAGAGAGCTTTAGGACTTATTTTGAGGTTGAGTTTGGTAAGGAAGAGTTTCTGGCCTCTCGAAAAACGGAGAGGTTTCATTGTGTTTTATTGATCCTTTTGTTCAGTGTTTAGTACGAGTATCTATTTTCTGTACTTTTTGCTGTTTAGAGTATCTTTTGAGTTGTAGAAGGGGAATGGGGTTTTGGACAGAATCAGTGAGGCCACTTCTAAGTCTGATTCGGTTTCTTGAGTATCAATATCAAAACCTGAGGATTTCCCTCATCTACATCTGTTGTTCTCTTGTCTTCTTTATTCAGAAACTATTGGGCAGGGTTATATCATAATCACAGTATATTACACGCTCTGACGCAGATAATGAGGCAAGACCAAGGGGGATGAAGATAACTGCGATGACTGTAAATTGTGTAATGACCTGTAAAATGACAATGAATCATTAATCAATTATTATAGCATGAGAAGGCTGAAACAGTTACATGCTATGATTTAGAGGTGACACTACAGAAGTTAATTTGCAAGCCGTACCCATGACGGTGTTATAATTGGTTGCCATGCAGAAAGTTCTTGCTGTGAAAATTTAGAATCTACAACATGGGAAACAAACTCAGGGGAAACATTATTCAGATAAGAGCTTAATGACGCATAGACATCACAAACAAGAAACTGTTAATAGGAGAAGAGCAACAAGAGTTAAATGATTACATGAAACACTCAGTTTTTCCGGAGTTTGGTTAAAAATCTGAGCCTTATTCTGTCTAGCAAAGACATGGGTATATGAAAGCAACAATGATCACCGTAACATTGAAGATTTGAAAACATAAGAGGAGACATCTTTCTTAAAGATGAAAGAGTTGAAGCATACTACAAAAGAGATTTCAACAGAATTCAAACAACATGTCATGTTTTATGCACAGAACAACATTGTAAGGGGTGAAACGTGTACAATTCTTCAATAATCCGAATTGACCTAACAATATAAAATCTATAGCAAGCGGTACTACTCCCGGGTTATGAATAATACACTACTCATCTCAGACTCCATGCAATACATAAAGAAACGTGTCTAGATTTTTATACTAGATATATCAAAGACCTAGTTACAGTAACCTTCCCTCAGCAATGTTCACAAGTTTTTTATTCCGCCGTATTTACAGTTTTGTTATCCGAACTTTGGAAAGCATAAATTTATCCTCAAAGCTAACATAATAAAGGCGGGAGAAGATGTACATCATCAGTTAAAACTAACATATAAAAGATAAGTGATTATCATCTTAAATTTATTTCTTATAAGTTCATGCAGCAGACCGAAAATAGCACCTATATTCTAGACATTACACGATTTTTCCGCGTTCGGTCAGATTGATTTTCCTTTCTTAATTACAAGGATAAAGTGGAAAGCCTTTCTATTATAATTGTATATAAGTGAATGTAGCATATATATATGTATGCATGCATGCATATGTAATATGTCAACAGAGCAGTAATGAAATGAAAAGAACATTAACAGAAATCGAAGCAGGGACGCTCGTACATTTAGGTTTTTTGCCATTGGAGGAAGAGGAAGAGGAAGCAGAGGGTCCAACATTTGCAGCGGCAGAGGTTGATGAAGAGGAAGTCATAGAGATATCCAAGAATTCCTCCGCTGGAGACGAACAGAGGATTGGATCGAGCAAAATGTGGCCAAGTTTGAGATCTTTGCAGAAATATGAATGAACCAACAAATTTAAACCTTCAACTTGGAGTCCTCCCTCCCTATATTTCTTGTTATGGAGGGACACCGCATGGCAGTTACTATTATCCAGAAAGGGAATTCCCATTCATTTTTTCAAATAAAATATTATAAATTATAGAAACGTTTGCCACGTGAATGTAACAAAACACAAGGAGGACTTTTTTTTTTTTTTTAAACCAGAATCATAAGAAATAATTTAAACATAAAATTCTCAAAGAAAATGAATCCCAAAAAAAAAAAAAAATTCCCTTTCAATTTTGTTTCTTTCCCTCCATCTAAACGCATCTTCACCTTGATTTTTTGGAAAAATTTGGGAAAAGTGCCATTGAAAGTTTTATTGGTAACGAAAACTTGAAACATTTTTATACACAACAAAGTGTCTTTTTTTTTTTAATTTTATTTACATCTTTCTTACTAGTAAAATTTTTAATGGGAATTTTTAACAATTTTTCCTAATTTCTTTTAGGCTTGTTCATATACAGTTTCTTTCCTTATTATAAAAACCCCAACATGCTTCATAATGTAACGTGTTTTGTCTAAAGCATTATCTGTTTTATCTGAAATCCCTAGCTAATTATGAGACTTCTTAACTAATTAACCAAACTCCTCTTATTAACAACTTTTATCAAGGATAATTATGAAATTTTATAAGAAATAACTAATCTTAACGAATTTTCTTAACTTGCAAACTTTATTTATTAAAAAAAATTTCAAAAAGAAAGAAAGAACGAAAAGAGTCAAATTGACTTATTATTATCCCTTGCCTCCAATAATTAAGGAGGTGGATGATAAGAAGTGGGAAAAAAAAAATTCAAATTCTGAGCATGTCTCATCTTGTCACATTTTCACGCGCATCTATAGACCTAGAGAAAAATCATTATGAGAAAAAATTTGTTGGTCTATTATTTGACTATTTTTTAACAAAACTAACATAATATCTGGTGCAATAATCAACTGACTTAACTTTTAAGTTTTGTTTGGATTAATTTTTGGGAAAAATACTTTAAGAAAACACTTAAATAACCAAAAATTTTATTTGGGTTATTAAATTTTTCAAATTCCTAATCAAGTCACATGATCTAAAAAAGAATTATAAAATTTTATTAAATGAATCTAATGCTTTTTAAATTAGAAACCAAAAGAAAATAATAATAAATTAACATGTTTCATTTCATAGTTAACACATTTCAATTCTAAATTAATGATTTTTTAACTTCATAACACACTTGTGTAAGTTTTTGAATAAAATTAATTACAATACAAATTTCAAAATAAATAAGTTTAATTACGCAGTTGTCAAGTTTTAGTTCTAAACTAACAACTTTGTGTTTCCAAAACACAATTGCAATAAATCTTTAAATAAAACTTGATCATAATATAACTTTGACAATAAACATATTTCATTTTACTGTTAACATGTTTCATTTTAAATTCACAACTTTTTGTCTTCATAACACATTTGCAAAAGTGTTTGAATAAAAATTGATCACAGTACAACCTTAAAAATTAACATATTCTATTTCATAGTTAAATGCGTTTCAATTTAAATTAATAACTTTTTGTTTCCATAACACACTTGAATAAGTCTTGGAATAAAACCTGATTATAATATAATCTTAAAAATTAACACATTTCATTTCGTAATTAATATGTTTTAATTCTAAATTAATAATTTTTTGACATGAAAAAACTATCTCAATTAAAAGAAGAAGATTTAATATAAAACCTAACTTATCATTGCCTCATTAATTGATTATTTGACTTTGTAATAGTAAACACCAATCTTCCATAGTTTAGAAATCTCGCACAATGCGAGAATGACAGAAATCCTCATTTCTTTAGGTTTCTAATGAAAGAGGTATTAGAGTCATTTCATAAAATTTTAAAATCATTCTTTGGGTCATGTCACCTGATTAAGAATTTGATAAATTTAATGACCTAAATAAAGATTTAGATTTTTTTTTTTAAATCCTAGTTTATATTTAAGTAGTGTTTGGCTTTAGTATAGTACTAAGACCATGGAAGTGATGATAATAACCGCTCTGTTCCAATTTCAAATACATCTTATTGATAACATTAAAACCCCTTAGCCAATATCTCAATAATTACAGAGCTTGTTTGTTTAATGATGAAAAAATAATAAAAATGACGTGTACATCATTGGCCCAGGACTAGTATGAATCCACTGTGACAATATGCACCCAGCAATTTCTCTGCTTTGTTCCTGCCGGCCAACTTCAGGCTCCCAGTAACCTGTAAAAGAACAATGACTTGCTTCAGTGAATAATCACGCTTTATATTCAAAATTCACGACCTGAACTGAAACAACATTGTTATTCTAACCTTGACAATGTGGATTGTACACGTCTGCTGCAGCCAAAGAAAGAAATCAAGGAAAAAAAGAAGATTTTAGCTTAGATCAATAAAAATAACTTTTTCTGGAAAAAGTTTCATTCTAATGAAAACCAAAGATTCAATGTAATGAACTTGAAATTATTTAAAAAGATTATCATCATGATTTGACATGCCTTGTGCCCTGTTGTTTAGCAGTCTGCTGCTTGGTAACTGGTTTTTGTGGTTCATCACTTGTAAGAGGTACAGTCTTCACCTGTGACGTTAACAAATCAGAAAATTTCTAAGAATCTCATCACCTTATTAGATGGAAATGTTGGTCTGAATGTTTTGGGTTTTTTGAAGAATCAACTATAGTGTCTTACCAAATTCTTGAACAGAAGGTTATAAAACATATGGATGTATCTTTGTTTTGCTTCTTTTGGCTCCTTATTCATTTTCCTCCAGAAAGTGTACATGCTTCCCATGTTCAGGAGCCTGTTTGCATAAATCTCCCAAGTGTAGCTACAAAACAAGCCATTTATAAAACTATAAGACTTTGACTGTTGCAGAAGGCAGACAAAATATAGCAGGGAATCTATCTTGAATTATGGTCTTTTACCATTCATTTATGCGCCTCAACCCGGCAGATGAAATCTTGTTCCAGTGTGTTGAATCCGCTTTGCAAGTCTCAAAGAAATCAGCAATTTTGTTGCTTGATTCGTCACCGTGCAAGGGATCAATATGGAATCCGGAGATTCCATCAACAATAATTTCAGCTGGACCTCCTTGGTTTGTGGCAAAAGTGGGCAAGCCACAGTTCATTGCTTCAATGACAGTAAGTCCAAATGCTTCATATAAAGCAGGCTGCACAAAAGCTCCCTTGGTGTCAGCAATGCATCGGTAAAGTTCTCCGTTGCGATGTCTGTTAGTCTGTGCAGCAATCCATCTGAATTGACCGCTTAGCTGGTACTTATCAATTAAAGCATGCATCTTCTTTATTTCTTCCATTTCCTCCCTGTCTTTGGATTTTGAAGGGTCAAAGAAGCCTCCAACTATGACAAGGTTTACCAAGTTTCTCAATCTCTTGTTCTTCCCGTACCACTCAACTAACCCAGTTAAATTCTTCACAACATCAAGCCTTGCCATTGAGAAGACAATAGGTTTTCTCCCGTCTGATAGTGATCCACTGTTTCCACAATAATTTCACAGTGAAGATTTATCATGCTGAGGGGGGAAATGTTATAGCAGTTCATATTTGAATTTTAAATGAATGTACGGAGTAGCAACAATCCCTTACATATGCTCATTGTTATCCACTTTACCATAAAGTAGCTCTTCAATGGCAGGGCGAAATTGAGCTAGTCTTTTGCCTTTCTCTGTATAAGGGAAATAGACAGACTGGTCAGCTCCAGGTGCAGCTATGTTGAATTTGGGATCAAATACGTTTATTCCTGATACAACCCTACAGATCCCGGGAAGAGTAAACGCAGCATGGCTTTCATACTGTCCAGGTCTATCTTTGCTGCAAATAAGAACTTCCATAAATTAGCATACATCTAAATCTACTTCTTGAAATATGCGTGCGTAATTTTAGCATCACTTTCCATGTTCATTGCGTCTGTCAAGTGCCCAACACAGGCATAACTTATTCTTTAAATTACCTTGTTTAAAATTCCTATGTTTTTGAGATTTTTTATTTCATATGCACGTTTAGAAAATTCGATGAGCATACCTTCCAGCAATTTCCTGGTATGTGCTGGTGATGATGAAATCCGCTGCATTCATTGCAATTGTATCAGCCATGAACTGGCAGGAGAAATGATACTTGGGATCAAGCTCCTTCCACTTGACATCTGAATCTTCGTACTTGGTCTTCTCTAAAGCGTGAGCTATAGTTCCCTGGTTTCAAATTACCCTGAGAATTAGTCCATATGATAAACCTCCTTTTGGCAACAACAAAAATTTGGACAAGACTCTTAAAGCAGAGAAGAAGGAGAGATATTAACCAGAGTTATCCCAAGTTTGTTAGCCATCAGAGATGCCACCAAATTCCCATCAGTGTAATTTCCAATAACAAGATCTGGTTTCCCTTCGAGGTGGTCTAGAATCTTTGTTGTAGCATCCTATTAATATGACCAAAAAAGGGTTACCAGAAGGGAAGGCCATTTAATAGGAAAATCTAGAAGCTAATGTAAAATACAAATATACTTGCCTGAGTAAACCTCTCAAGATATGGATAAATGTCAAAGCGAGAAACCCATTGACGAAGGATTCCTTTTTCTGTGACGAAAGGCACACGTAGAATGTGGGAGTGCTTGGTATCAATGATTGGTTCTAACTCTTGATCACATGTGGTTCCTCGAGCATCAGGTATGAGCCTTGTAACCTGTCATAAGAACAAGATCATTCTAACATAAATGTATGCGAACAGTTTGCCTAATGTACGGAGATGATTTCTTTGCAACTTGTGAAACTTACAACAAGAATTTGAGGCTTCACAGTTAGGCCTTGCTGCTTAATTCTGAGAAGCAACTCTGCTTCCAGAGCTCTTACTTGATCCAAGATGTAAACTACCTGTTCCAAATTGAACCCCATTAATTTGTTTGATTTTGGCAAGGAGTGACAGCAATGAAGAGAACTTGTTTTGATCAGTGTGTCAAAGCCAGCTTGACGTATGAAGTAACAGTTTAATCCTTCCACTCCCTATTCTTTCAAGATACTTAATTTTTGCATAGTTTTAAACTTCGGACAAAGGCTTTAAGTTCGCTAGGTATTTGAAATCAAAGTCTTCTATTATAATCTAAACATTTAGAGGAAATTAAATGAAATGCTCAATCATATAATGCTGAATTGTAAGAGATACCTCTACTTGTTATATTCTGATTGAAGAGTCTGAAACCAAACACATAAAAAATATATTTTGTCATCAATCTCAAGCTTTTACCTGACCACCGGTGTCTGGCAAGCCAAGGACATCAGCTTGTCCAAAATAACCATGAACAGAGAAGATCACAACATTGAAAATTGTAGGAATTCTGCTGAAGAGCTTCTCGAGATTCTTTGGGTCTGGTGCTTGGAGTACCTCAGCCAGAATGTTCATTGTCTCCTTCACTCTTTCTGCAGTATCACCCCAGCCTCTCTCAAAACCCCACTCTTTGAACCTGTAAGTAAAAAAAAATTGTCTTGCATTGCAACATCCTGGGCTTGTTCAACAGATAAATAGAGAGGGCTTACCTTAGCTCAAAAGTCTGATATGGAGTATCCTTAGGTAGTTTTGCAAGGAACACGTCTGCCACTATCACTGCCAGCTGAAGCTTTTCAGCAGAGTTCAGGGTGTCATTTATCATCAACTTCTGGCATTTCAAATTACAAAAACAAGAACATTAATAAAATATATTACAGCAAATTTTTCTACTTGGAAAGAGTTTGTTTGATTCTATTTCATGTTATTGCACTCACTTGTCCCCCATGACTTAGTGTTGACAAGTAGTCCACTAGAGCTTGTGTTTTTTCAACTTTCCCACTTAGCTTTGAAGATAAGAACTTTGAAGCAAAATTAATTCCTTTTCCAATTGAAGAAGACAGGGATAAATGAGGAACGGGGAAGTCAAATGCTCCAAAATCTGCTTCAAATGCGTGTTCATCATTTACCCTGCAAATATAGGTCCAAGTTAAACATCAACAAGCTGGTAGCTATATGACCATGACAGAAGATCTTCATGTGATCATGTCACAAAGATTGTGAAGAAGAAATCCTTGCCTTGCAAAGCCAGAATGGTTTTGTAATGATTTATTATTATCATCATTATTATTTTTCCTTACAGCATATGCAACATCAATATATAATAAAATTTATAGAAAACCACAATATATCTATGTATATAAACTGTAAGCACTAGAGTTGATCTTAGACTTCATATAAGGTAAGACCCACAATTTTTTTCTTCATAAAACATTTATTTTTTTGTTTAATTTTATTGAATATTTCATTTTCCTTCATTAACTTCAATTAGTTTTAATTGTGTTCATTAAGTTTATCTCGAGTTTTTCTTGTATTCTTTATGTTTTCTATTGGCTCCTAGCTGGTCCTTAACTTTGCTTATAATTTAATTTCATCTCTCAATTTTATTTGGTTCCAATTTAGCCTCTTAATTTTATTTCCTTGCAAGTTGGCCGCTAAATCTCAAACAAAACTACTAAAATCTATTTTGCAATGAAACACTCTAAAATGAAACTGCTGTATGATAAAGTTATATAAAGCTCTATTACCAAAAAAAAAAAAAAAGTTATATAAAGCTCATCGATGAAATAACACGAAACTCGCAGTTAGATTAGAAAACTTTGAATAAAATGAAAAGACCAAATTAAAATTTAAATGACAAAAGTGAAAATGAAAAGAAATATCGAAGGGCCAGATTTAAAGTAATTAAAATTATGTCAGCAAAAAGTACAATTTAATATTAAATAGAGGGACCAAAATTACATCTTTTTTTTCTTATCAGGTTAAGAGCATAATAGAATCTGATTTGATTGTAAATTTCTACCATCTCTCTATCTTTTTAATGTTTTCCCTCAACTTCCTCATTTCTTGGTGGTCCAGCTCAAATGCTCTTTTGATTAAAAGAGAACAATAACTTTATCTACTTGCATAGATATTTTTTGCCCCATCATAAATCTCCTTTCACCTCATTTCCCCACCGTTGGCTTTAAAAAGTGAGATTCGATTCAAGACATAAATGACAGTGAAAAAACTTGATGATAAGTGTTATCAGAGAAAAATCCAGCAAACAGAGATGTAAGGAAGCATCAGCCAAACCCAATAAAACATTCAGAAGAAGAGATGAAACATACCAGTTTTCATCATATACTGATTCTTTCAACTTCAGGTAGTCAGTGGAGGAGATTTCCGCAACAGAGAGGTTCTCAGAGCTGACTTGAGCAAATTCCCAAACCCCAGGATTTCGCCTTATTGCAAAAGCAACATATGGTGGATTAACAACAGCTTCCTGCAAGCATGAAGTTTCACACACCACACATCATTACCATCAGAAAACAAAGAATCAGAAGTGGTCGAAGAAGATGAATTGAGAGGAGAAGCAAAGCAAAACCTGCGTAGAACCCAATATGTAGCCAAGATTGCCCTCCAAGACTTGGTTCCTCTCGGTCTTGTCATCAATGACTAGTTCCATTTCCTCCATCAAATGGTGAAGCTTCATGATCCTTTTTCCCTTCTCAAGGTACTTGGCAAAGCACTTCTTCATATGGTACCTACTCTGACGCAATGCATCAGGCATGTTGTCTGCAATCGAGTTTGTCCGCTTCAAAGCAGGGGCTGAAGTAGAAGAAGCCATTTGATCCCACGCACAGAGACACTGAGAAATAACAAGACCAGTGAACTATGTTCTGAGAACCCAAGAAGAGGAAGATGGGGATGATAGAAATGCGAGTGAATTTATAGAGAAGGAGATGATGGGGTTCTTGGTGATTGTGTGTTTGTGCGGACGAAATGACAAAATAGCGATTTTGGGAGGAATTGGTGACGAAGTTGGAGAAGGAACATCTGGGAAGAGGAGGAAAGGAAAGGAATGAGCACATTTTGAGAAGAGATTCAAAGTTTAAAAGACTAGTGTTTTCCATCACGGAGCTAGAGGTATCGTATCATTCCTTTCTTCTTTGTGGCTGGCTGTGGTGAGACAGAGAGAGAGAGAGAGGATGAGAGGAAGAATATGGGAAAGCGCAAGTTCACGGCATCTGCTTCTGGTGCCTTGTCTACGCAGTGTGGCACTTTTTGTTCCTGTTTCTGTTTTGGACGATAACCTTCATGGGGTTTGTGCCTTTGTGGTATCCTCTTTTTTATAACAAGATTGTAGGAAAAAACGCAAAACATAATGCACTATTATAAACTCTCGAGATTTTTTTTTTTTTTTTTCCATTTACAGCAAGCGAAGCCAGATATTACTGAGGAAAAATTACAAATAAAGACTCCTCAATATATGAAATTTTGATTTAGAACTTTCAATTTGAAAAATAAAAAATAAAGACCTGATTCCATATTACAAATATAAAATCTTGGTGAAATATTTAAAATGATCCTTAGCCAAATTGTGATTTGATTTACTGAAGTTGTCATTAACTAAAGTGAACTTGTCATTTCTCATAGTCAACTTGTCATTTGGCATACCTTCAACCAAATTGTGATTTGGTCTACTAAAATTATCATTCACTAAAATAAATTTGTCATTTTTCATAGTTAACTTGTCATTTGGCTGAGAGACATTTCAAACATTTCACCAAAATTTCATATCTGTAATTGGGACCAATCCTTTAAAACTATTTTTCAAATTAAGGATCCCAAATCACAATTTTATATATTGGAGATTCTTTATTTGTGAGTTTTCCTATTGCTAAAGGCATTAATACCTTCATCATCATTGGCAAGGCTGCGAGAAATTTGACTTTACTTTTCTAAAAAAATTAGACAATGAAATTTGACTGTTTTAAATCAAGAGGATGACAAAACATAAATACTCCCTCTTGTAAAAACTAAATGATATTATGGAAATATTAAAAAAATTAGTTAACATAATTATTTATAAAAAAAAATAAGTACGCATTATGTTCTTAATATAAGATCTAATTAACTAATTTAAGTAGATTAAGGATATTAGTTAAATTAATTAATATAATTTTTTAAGCATCCTAATCATTTTTTTAATTGCTTCCCTCCCCTTTACTTAATTATTGTTGAGAGAATATCAATAAGATTAATTTGAAAAAAAATTGATAAACATATGAAGTAGGTTTTACATATAGAACCAATATTAACTCTAAAATTAGGTCATAATCAGGGAAGAGGTGTAATCAATAAAGAAAATTTTAAAAATTATAAATTTAAGAAATAAATAAATGGGAAAATGACCAGAAAATGACTATTGAAATTTGAAATGACAAAATGAGCATGCAAATAACTGAAATCACCAGATGGACCTAAGGCATGAATCTGGAATTATCACAATTCAGTAGAAAGACTAAAATACCCCTGAACACCCCTAAACACATGAGCTGAAAACAAGACAAGTGAAAGCTCCAAAAGAGAGAGAGTTGAGAAGAGGAAGCTTGGAGCAAGAGTGGAAATCTGGGAAGAAGAAAAAGGTAAGTAAATTTTTTTGTTAAAATGCTAGTATCGTACTCCTCCAACTATCACCATTCTGCAAACCTAATTTATTATGATGGATTTTGCTTGTAAGTAAGTTAGTTTGTAGTAATAGAAGGGTTGGACGTGAATATTATGTAAGAGAGTCAAGGTTAATGATGGGTTTGGGTTCTTAACCCGCTTTGCTACTGATGCTCGAATGGGGATGGACTTATGAGTGTAAAGGATTTAGATAAAAAATTTAATCGGGATGAGAGAGCGATGCATTGGAAATGAAAAAATGGTAGCAACTAATAATATGGGCATGAAATTTGAGGACAAACAGTAAGTATGAGATGACCAATGTTGTTAAATTCATTAGTAGAATTGTGATATCCTACATTTAAATTGTCAATGAAAGAAGTGGGTTGTGCGTTTTTTAGGTGTTTCGGAAGGTAAATGAGATTGATTATTGGGAAACTAAAATATTGATTTATGCTTCTTTGCTGCAAGTTAGCAAGCTTTGATGACATCTAACATTGGGTCTAATATTGAGGGGTAATTTTTTGGTGTGAATGGAATGAATTTTTTACCCTTCTTGATTTTTTTGAGAGAGAGGTTGATAAGTAAGCTATTTTTTTTGTAAATGATGTTAACTAGGTAGGATATATTTTGTAATCTGAATGATAAGAAAACACTATGTGGCAGTTTAATCTTAATGTTAACTTGTCATTTGAATATGTAAGTTATGTAGTTTCTGTCATAGGCCTACTGGTTTTTGGTAAATATTGTCACTTCAATAGTCAATTTCATTACACATATAGTAAAGTCCGAATGTTATATAAACATATTATGATGTTCTTCAAAAGAAGATGGTGGAATTTGCCAATAGGCATGACCGGAGTGGTTAATTTGATTACAAATGTTACTATTCACATTACAAATGTTATAATTATCATTACCAGGGTAGTGAAATGGGCTGAAAATAGATGTTACTTGGATTTGAAATAAAAAAAAAATTACAAATGGCAATAGCAAGATGATAATTCTCATTACGAAAATTGTAATTCACATTACAAATGTCATCATTATCATTACCGGGGTAGTGAAATTGGCTCCAAATACATGTTACTTGGATTTGAAAGAAACAAGTTGCAAATGGCAATAGTGAAATAGTAACTCTCATTACAAAAGTTGTAATTCACATTACAAATGTTGTCATTATCATTACCGGAATAGTGAAATTGGCTGAAAATATATGTTACTTAGGTTTGAAAGAAACAAATTGCGAATAACAATAGCGAGATAGTAACTTTTATTATGAAAGTTATAATTCACATTACAAATGTTGTTATTATCATTACCGGGATAGTGAAATTGGCTCCAAACACGTTACTTGGGTTTTAAAAAACAAGTTGCAAATGACAATAACAAGATGGTAACTTTCATTACGAAAGTTGTAATTCACATTACAAATGTTATCATTATTATTACTGGGTAGTGAAATTGGCGTGTTACTTGAGTTTGAAAAAAATGAGTTGCAAATGGCAATACAGAAGTAGTCATTTTCATTACGAATATTGTTAATTCCATTACTTGTGTAGTGAAATTGAGTCCAAGTAAATGTAATTTGGGACACAAATAATCAAGTTGCAAATGCCATCACGGAAGTGACAACTTTCATTATGTATGTTGTAATTACCATTACTTGTTTAGCGAAATTATCTCAAAAAGGATTTAAATTAGGCCAACAAATATCATAATTTACAACCTACAACTATAAGTCAAATATCTTGAAAATATTTGGACACTTCTTTCACAAGTACTATATGCTTAATCTACGTAATCTATACTACTATCACAGATGCCATCTTTTGGTCAATATAGTGGCTTCATTTGATGAAAGCAAGCTCAATAAGCACAACCATGACTCAGCACTTAGAGACATAAATCATTATGTCCAAATCAATTTTTAATCTCTAACTCTTCAATCCTCAAACCAGCAGATTAAGAAAGAAAAAAAGAAAAAAAATCAGTTTTATGCCTCAATAATTTAATTCCACTAGTATCAATTCACAAGCAACAACCCACATACTCAGATAGATACAAATATTTTACAAGTATAGAATCAGCTTTTAACCTTCAAAACATTTCAAGTAGCAGTAATATAAAATCTGTAAATTATTTTCACTTTCAGAACATGCTTATATATAATTCAGATTCATTAAACAATCTCTGAACACCACCGTATCAGCTTCTGAATTTCCAAAATTTGAATCCCACAACCTCAAGCATCAACAGCCCCAGCAGCAATGAACACACACATCCTTGTAAGATGATATACCATAGCAAAGATAACCAAGTTCTCACGATTTCAACAACTCAGAGAACTTCAGGAATATTGATTTTGGAATCTATAGACATCCTTTATTCATTTGGCATCAGAAAAACACAGTCCCCAAATGACAACCAATTAAACCCCCTTCTGAAATTTTTAAAAAAAACTTGGTCCTTCACTCATATCAAAATCATAAACACACACATATTATATCTTGCAACATTACAACATCACAATAATCAAAGGGCAATCTCGTCGAGTAGTGATTATGATTCAGAGGAAGGAAACAACTTGAATAATATGGACACACACAGAAGCAGCAACCCCTTCTTCCAACTTCATAATTCAGAGCAATCCAAGCACCGATTCACATAACTACAAGTTTTAATCTACCTTTAGATTTCATTTTAAGCTTTCACCATTGCTTCCCCCACTTTAGAACCAAGATTTGCCGTTTTTCCTAAATAAAGCCACTCCAATCAGAGAAGTAGAAGACGGAGAGATTTTAACAGAATGGTGATAATTGGAGGAGTACGATACTAGCATTTTAACAAAAAATTTGCTTACCTTTTTCCTCTTTTCAGATTTTCACTCTTGCTCCAACTTCCCCTTCTCCACTCTCTCTCTTCTGAATATATTATATGTCTTGTTTCAGTTCATATGTTCAGAGGTATTCAGGGGTGTTTTAGTCTTTCTACCGAATTGTAATAATTCTATATTCATATCTCTAGTCCATTTGGTGATTTCAGTTATTTGTATGCTTATTTTGTTATTTCAAATTTCAACAGTCATTTTCCCTAAATAAATTCCAACTTTGTATCTAAAATTAAAATAGACTTGTTGACTCATCGAGGAAGCTATTTCTTAGACTGTTGAAATCCTCAATCGTTGCCAATACCCCACACCCTAAGAAATAGCTACACCTAGGATAAAAAAAAGTTACCTGTGATGTATTGCATTTTTAATCCTTAATCGCTAATGGGAAAACTAACACCGCAATCATTATGTTTTGGTCTTATTTTTAATTAGGCCCTTCAAATTATTATTTTTTCCAACTGAATCCTTATTATTTGTTCAAAAAGAGTTTTACAGTTGATAAGCAATGACAAATAGGATCGGACATGGCAAACAAAAAAACCAAGGATCTGATGCACCTTAATTTTCAAGTTCAAAAGAAAAGAGAGTAGATATTCAACTTCTCCTCCTCTTTCAGGAACCACATCAATTTTCTGGCACACCTTCTTATACATGTAGCCACTTAAAGCCACTTCTGAGAAGGAAACAGATCGAAGATATCTTGCAACACTGAGAAAACCGTAGTACAAGCCCACATAAATTGCTTCTTTTTGCCTTGAAGCAAGCAATTTTGCCAGCAGTGGCAGAAATCTGCTCAGTGAGGTTAACAGCAAAACCATCTTTTACAAACTCGATGCTTCTCCTTCCCTTAGTGTGATTCAAATGATCTCACACAAGTTGCCTTTAACTATTGACAACAAAACATTAGATATACTTGTAACTTGCAAGTTATTTTAGTGTTGACTAGAAATTGATCCCACATAACTTAATGCTAAGAAGAGTGAGAAGCACAACTAAAATACCACTATGAAGGCTCAAATCCCTTAACCACGCACAACAGAGATCAAGGATTTGCACAGCAAAAATTCTCCAAGGACCCAATGTATTGTTTCAAATCTGCTGCATCATTGCTCATCCACGGCATTTAACCCTTTTTAACGTTTTTTAAGCGAAAAGATGATTAGTTGTTATTGTATTAATTAATATACAAATTACAAGTACTTTTGCGACGAAAAATCTAACTTTACATATTGAAGGGATTTTGAAAATAGACCCATGAAAATTTGGGAAAAATCAATGTTTAAATTGGTTGATTTTTTTTTATTTGCCAACGAATTTTAATTTTTTAAATTATTATTATGACATATTTATTTCTTTCTAAACTCTTATTTATTTTTATTTATTCATTAAAAGTAACATGGCGGCATTTAATTTAAACACGAACATATACCGTACGCGTGGCTCGATCTCGACCGTGAACGGAAGCGCGCGCGCTCCATTTTGGGTTTCCTTCTTTGCACCAAAGCCCACCCTCACATTAGGGTTTCATCGGCGGAAGGGTCTTCCCTTTATAAGCAGCTTCACCTCCTCCATTCTTCATCGTCGCCTTCGGCTCAAGTTTCTTTTTGGTAATCTCGTAGTGTATAGCTCTGATTTGGGGTTCTGGTTCTCTTTGATTGTTTGAATCTCGCGTCAATTACTGATTACCAGTGCTCTGCATCCTGTGGGTACTGGTATGAGCTGACGCCATAGCTCTCCGATCTGCAATATTATGTGCTCTGCTTAGTCTTTCATGTCAGTTCCTATTGCATGGACGGGAAATTCTCTGCCTTCTTTTTATCTGTTCTAATTCCCTTATCCTCTTCGCCCAAAGTCGAAGGAATCCAATGCTGTTCTTGACTCTTAGGGTTTCGGTTTCTTTAGTCTTTTCCTTAGTGGTCTTAAGTTAGAATCAAGATGTGAAGAGACTTTCGCTATATAATCGAATTTGATTCAGATTTTGCGTATCTGCTGTTCCTTCTATTCAATAGAGATGGAAGTGATGATTATTTCCCCAGATGATCGACGCTGAAATTACTGAGCGATTTTTCTCTTTTGAGAAACCAAGCCAATTGAATCTGATCCATCTCGCTCATTATATTCATCTCATACTATCTTTTTCCGAAACTAATATTTTTAAAAAAAATATTAATTTCGTTCCCTTTTTTTGGTTGTGCTGTGCGTATATGACTACATATTTGATCTGGTATGCTGTGCTGAGAAAGTTCCTTTTCGTTTATCTATACAAAGTCATGTAATTGTTTTGATTGTGTTGAATGGAGATGGAAGTGATGACTATTTCCCCAGATGATCGACGCTGAAATTACTGAGCGATCTTTCTCTTTTGAGAAACCAAGCCAATTGAATCTGATCCATCTTGCTCATTTTCTTCATTTCTCACTTTTTTGCTGGGAGAATCAAGTGCTAAATAAGAAAAATAATTACTAAAAAAAATCTCAACAACTCCCAAGTTACAGAGTGGAGAATCTTTGGATTTGTTTTGTAATTTTTTTTCTTCTTCTTGGAACCTTACTATAATTCTTTTTCTTTTTTATAAACTATCGATTTATCTCTTAACAAATTTTGAGTTCGTTCAATTTTTTTCTGATGTGCTGTGTGTAAATTGCATGTTTGTGTGCTTATGAAGGTTTTAATAGCCTTCACCATGGGTTGGATCTGAGGCTAGATTCATTAGATTTCATAATAAACTCTATCTTTTACATTGGATTATAAAACTTAACGTTATTACGAGAATTTTAGATCTTAATTGGACGATTTCAAGAGCAAAATTCAACAAGCATACCATTGTGATCAGTAACAATGAACATTTCAATGTATGTCTAACCGCGAAACAAGCAAGACTTGTGAAGTGGAATGAAGTGTCATGGCATGTTTGGGAAAGAGGTAAATGATAAGGAATTGTAAGACATCTGAAGTAATAGAATGAATTTAAAAGGGATCAGATGGTAAAAGACATGCCTCTTAAACTACCTGTGATTTCAAATCTGGCAACATTATAAGGTCAGAGGTTCAACATGCTTGTAGAGAAAAGATGGGGTGTGTTTATTTGCTGGGGAGGACAAGTCATGGATGATAGATTTGAACCGGGAACCGTACCTCTAACTAAAGTCCGTAGGCGGGCTTGCCCTTCCAATCCAGAAATTAAGAGTTCATACTACTCTGTGGGCTTTGAATTAGATTGTCGACTTGTCGTCATGTTCCTTGGTTAAAATATAAGAATACCCAGCGAAGTCAAAGTCTGAAAGATGCCCAAACACTTCAATATAGAATCATACTAATTTTATTTGGACTTGGTCCCAAAATGTTTTGGCCCAAACTCAATGCTGATTTTTCAGAATCAAAATTATTTGCTGACATGATTATGGTACTGAGATTCAACAAGGGGATCCTGTATGAATTCACAAGACAATAGAATTTGACACATTGAAATTCAGCACTATTCACTCCTTATTATCGTGATATTGTTCCAACTTACTTTCTTCAAACATGCCGCTCATTAAGTCTATTATGAGTAGCAACATTTATAGAGTTCAAGACTTCAAGCTACTTCCTCTATTCTAACTTCAACTCAAGTACCATTACTTATTATTCACCCGTCTCTCATTATCTGCTTTCCATGGTTTCAATTTTATCATATGTTTTCATGAATGTACTATATACTTTCTTTAATCCTCAATATAAGATCATATTAAGATCATTTAAGAAGATTAAAGAAGTTAAATAAATTAGTTTAAAATTTTATATTTATACACTGATTTGCTTGACTTATAAACTAATATATAACCTAATTATATACATAAATATTTTAGAAAGATCATTTCACATACATTATAATTAAGCAATTTTTTGACTTTTTTAAAATTAATTAACCAAGTACTGTATTAAAGATTAGAGGTAGAATATTTTAATTGGGCCTAATATGGGGATCATTCAGTCCCAACAAGGTTTTTGGGGCAGCCCAAAAGTCATGCTTGCAACAATTAGGATGACTTGGCGTATTACATGACTTGTAAGCCCCAACTCTTTATTATACTCCTTTGCGTCTTATTTATAAGAATCTGTTAACCTAATCACACATATTAAGATAAATGACTGATTATCAAGGTACTAAAAATCGGACCAGCAATTGAACCGGTCAAGACAGTGGGTTATGGGTTAATGAGTCATATTGAAGTCAAACCGATGAGAATAAAAAAATAAAAAATAATTTAAATTTTCATTAGGAACTATATATCAATTTAATATCTTGAATCACTAGTGAAATAATCATATACTTACAATTTCTTATAATATCATATTACTAAAATCAATAAATATTCATCCCAACAACATATCAAAATAGATATATGATAACAAAATATTCCTCCATATAGCTATTTAATAACTAAGTTCTAATTATCAATAGCTTTTAAAATATCATCAAAATAATTTTAAAAAAAAAAAAAAAAAAAGGAATCGGGTTAACCCACCAAATCGGGTGGGTTACCCAGGTCATTACCAGTTTGCCTCGATTCAATATGGGTCACATTGGGTCAAAGTGACCCCGATTCATAGGTTCAACCGGACTGGTTTCCTAACTGGTTGGTCAGTTTCTGGTCCGATTTTACATACCATGGTGATTATATTTGTGAGACTCCTACCAGATTAAACATTCTATCAGGAGAATCCCACTTTCATTCACAAAGTCACAACACCATCACACAATAATTGTGCCAACCAAAAAAGTGGAATCCCATTTTTTATTTGCTAAACATCTCAGTCTTTTGGTTAATGGATAATTAATCTTTTGATCCCTATAGTTTGACATTGTTTGTAACTATATCCTTATACTTGAACTTGATCAACTTAGTCCTTATATTTTTTGACTTGGTTGTTACTTAGTTTCTAAAATTTAACTCATCACAACTTAGTGTCTATACTTTTAATCATTTTATAATTTAGTTTATTGTTTTATTAGATATATAATTTCAGTTTTCTAAAACACAAGTATTAAGTTACAAAATGAATAAAAATATAAGGACTGAGTTGCATCGAATCAAAGTTTAAGGATTAAATTATAAATGAGTCAAAACTATACAAATTGAGTTACATCAAATCAAAATATAGGGATTAAGTTACAAATAAGTTAAAACTATAAGACCAAAAAATTAATTTTTGCTTCTTTTTTTTTTTTAGTGTCAAAGTAGCTTATGAGGTGCGTCACGACGATTACGTGAACTTCCAAAATTCAAATGGAAAAATAAGGTGAGCCATTATAATTACGTGAACTTTTAAAATTCAAATGGAAAAATAAGGTGAGCCATTATAATTACGTGAACTTTTAAAATTCAAATGGAAAAACTTATAAAATGAGACTCCATTCAGCGTTTCGTAGTGATGAAATTTGGGTGATCCAGAATCTCATCTATACGGTATAAATTTAAAATTTTTAATATGTAATTTTTTAATGATATATTTGTTTTAAAAAAACTGTTAATTATGAGATTATGACTATCTTCACTTTAAATGTTATATCTATTAAAACAAATATTTGTTTGCAATTGTTAAAAAAAATAAATTGAACTTAGACCATTTAAAATCAATCTGAATAAGCTAGAACTTATCTTCTTAATGAGTACAGAATATGTCTCTACTGATTGGCATGGAGGAAATGGATGGAAGGGGAGGAAAAAGAAAATTTAGTGAGCTCTATTTAAAAAATTAGAAAAGTGAGGTTTTGAAATTTTAATAAAGAGAAAAAGTAACATAAAAGAGTATGAAAATTAATTAAAAACTTTTAACCTCACTTTTCAATTTTTTAAATCGAGTTTATTAAAATTTTTCTTCTCCTCCCGTCTTTTTATTTTTTTCTCATACCAAATGGACCCTTTAACTTGACCACTGATAATAAGATTGGAGCTTACTTGACTTTTTTACTAATTGGATAAATATTTGAAAGTGAATCTGTTATTAACATAAAATGTACAACATGATTCATGGCTTGATGCATATTTACAAGAGATCAAAGGGATGCACGAAATTGAAGGATTTTGTTCATAGGAATTAATTAATGAATTCAATATTCCAAAAATAAGTTCTTAGATTTGAGTAGTGTGAATTAAAGAGAAAAATATCTCAGGAAAGCTAATATGAAAATCATCAAACGACTCTCCGTCAATATCTACTTGTTCCAATTGTAATGTCAGTTATCATGTTTGGATAAAGTTATAAATTTCGAGCCCAACATTAACATGTTTGTATGTGTGCTTGGTGTGTATATTTAATTGTATTAAGTAAAAATAATATCTATTTGAATTTGAACAAGTCATTTATCTATAAGGTTTTATCTTATACTACTCCTGGTCTTTAATATAAGAGTTAGTTTGACATTCAATTTAGTCTTAAATATAGGACTATGATTCACTTTGTCTCTCTTCTTTATCTACTCCTTTGGTTCTTAATATAAAACTTAATTATTGAGTTGATCTTGTTCTAAATATAACACATATTTATCATATTTATCAATTTTTTAAAATTATCCCTATTGATACTCGCTCAACTATAATCAAGTAAGACATGAAGAAAGGATATTAAGAAAGATGATTATGGTATTTAATGAAAAACATGTCATTTTTTTTATAATTAACTAATTTCTCTAACTTCTTAAATCTAATAAAATTAGTTAAATAGGTCTTATATTAAGGACTGAAAGAATATTTTTTTCAAAATAGTTTTTGGAGTAGTTACACATGTTAAAGGTGCCATCAAATAATAGTTCTAGTTATTACACATGATTAGAAAGGATATTTTAAGAAAGACAATACGTATTTATTATAAATAACTAGCTTAAAAAATTTTCTTAACTACTCATATTAGTCAATTAGTTTTTATATTAAAGATAGAATGCAATATAATATTTTGCATTATAAGAGTTTCCGTCTTCTCAACCCCTAACCGCCGGTTGGAAGGTTGGCACGGCAATAGACTATAGAAAGAGTGTTTTTTTTCCCTTTAAACAAAGTATATTTCAGAAAAGTTCTTGAAAGCTTTACCGTAATTAAGCAATTTCATAATTCTTATATCATATCATATGCATATTTTGACAACATTTAATAGTTATGCGTCATTCTTCCCATTAATAAGTCAAGTTGCCTGAGTTATTAGGCTTGATTTAACAGTTAACAATAAACAAATAATCAATTTACAAGCTAACTAAATATGAGAGATTCACGACACGTGGTCGTTAACTGTGCAAGAATCTTGACTATTAACAGGCATATAATAAGTCATAATGTGGAAATATCTTTGTGTTTTGACCATTTTAGGCTAAAGGCGTAACGAAATAACCCAGCTACTATCAATATCAATATTCATTA